ATAACGTTATTACTTGTCGATTATTTTGTGAAAGAAATAATCTCCAAAATCTATGAAGATTTTCACTGATCTCTTTTCAAAGTTTAAATAATGTTAAACTTGAGTCGTAAAGTTAGAACGATAGCTAATTAAATGGTCTCCCAAATTTGAGTTCCCTTGATGGTAAAAGAGCAAAAAAAGACTTAGAATGATCTCCCAAGTTCAGATCCCCTTGATAGTAACAGAGTAAGAAGAAAATCTAACATGGTCTCTTAAGTTTGAGTCTCCACAACTATTAATCTTATCCTATTGATAGTTTTAGGGTCCTGACGGATCAATTAAGGTATATGCAAACTGATTGAAACCCTAGTTATAAAAAAAAAAAAAAAAAAAAAAAAAAAAAAAAAAAATTGTCCGTATGTACATCATCTTATTATGTATACCATTCTTTCTTCTAATATCTATGAGTGGATTTTAAGATTGTTTAGTATAGATTAATACATGTTTATATCAGCAAAGATTAATACATGGATTAAGATCTTTTCCTGATCCCAGCATAACTGGGAAAAAGTTCTTGTTCTTCTAATAATATCAAACTGTATTATCAGAATTCATATTGTTACTGCTCTGTGATTTGGCAAGCTTTTGAGAGAGAGCATTAATGGAAGAATTAATAAAACAAGAGAAGTCGACTGAAGAGAGTTGATTAAATCCATGCAAGTAAAGAGTAGTTAAAGAAGGCATATATTATGAAAAGATGCGAAAACGAAAAGCTTTCAGAATCTTCTCTGAAGGAATGAATGAATGTCTCCCCACCGTACAAAAATAAAATAAATCTGTAGAGACTGGAATGGCCTTTAATTTGTTCTTTAAAACTTTAACCCTTTTTGATTTCTTATTACATCGATCGATGATCAAAGCCATGAAAACATTATAGGATTCTTAATTTACAGTGTAAAGAGATCAAATTGAAAAGCTATCTCAAACTCAGCTGACCGAACTGCATGCATGCATGCATGTTCATGAAGATAGAGATAACCTTTTTTTTTTTTTTTTTTTTAAATTTTATTCTACCTGGCCGTCTAGTATGTATTTATCTAATCACGACATACATATATATTATACGTGTTGACGTGACATGTCATGATTAGATTGACGAATATTTGTTGATATAAAAATAATTATGATAAAGATGAAGATAAAGACGATCTCATGAACCACTCCATTAGTTTCGCGACTTACATAAGAAATTAGCAAGACCCGTGCCAAAGAAAGTAGTTCACGGACATCGTCTATATCATGCAAATTAATTACTTTCAACATGAGAATGTTTGCTTTATTTATTAACTTTCTAGATTCGAACCATCTTGGGGTCACTTGCTATATTTGTGGTTTACTTTAGAACATTGAGCTTGTAAAGTGTTTAGTGGGCCTCGAAGATTAGTTTACGTGCGTGTAAACAAATCCGGACACTCCGATCAAAAAGAAAAAAAAAAAAATCTATATCACTCGTATAGCATTAAACTCAATTGAATCCCATAGACGACAAAATACCAATTTTAAGTGAATATTGATCAAGATAAAATTTACAATAATAAATATTTTTCTCCCATGAATGAGATTCTTTTTCCTTATGAAGTGATATCAAACACAAATCGTAATATAAAAACCAAGCTCTTGTGAGTTTCTTGTTAGGGTTTGGTAACTTTCATCAAGCCCAAACAATTTATCTAGTTGGCCCTAGACATAGTCCCTCCAGCTATGGCCCAAAATTTTAGATGTGGGCTTGGGAGGCTAATGGGCTGACCGGCCCATGATCACCATAGAAATTGAACCATTATTTTCTTACAATTATTAGACTAATGACAATGGTATTATTGGTTTAGTGGGTTGTATTATGTTACTAGTTCAATAATATATCACGTCAATTTTCTCCATTGAATTGTGGTTAAGGGTTTGATTATGGTTCCCTTGCCCACAATCGAGTGGAAAAAATTGATCAAATAATACTATCAAGTCGATAATATTGGTATTCTTCTGATTTAATAACTCTTGAAATATATTTTCAAGAAAATATATCAAACAAATTTTATTATAAGAGAGTTCTCAGAACATAAGCACAATTGGTATTCACTCCGTATTTTTTCTACACAGTTTCTTAGGATCGAAGTATTGTAGTTAAATTCCTTAAATTACATTATCATGTATTACTTTAGTTGCTTTTTTCTTTACTCGAATTAGGATGGTCCAAAAAGGGTACAACTCAATATGCTCCTTATCTTAGGCCTTTTCTTTCTATTGTCTCTTTAATAAATTCTCTCTCATCCTTATGAGATTAACCCTAAAAAAAGTACTTTCAGTAGTTGAATTTATAATTAAAATGTCGTTTTCAGATTTATTAATCGTTCATACCCGATCTAATCTCAACCACTTAGACCTAGTCTAAAATCAAAATAAGAAGTTATGTAAAAAATATTAATAATAATTGAGCATTATAAAAAACCTCTAATAATAATTATAATTAATAAATATTATTATTATTATTATTATTATTGCTGTTATTGGCTGTCATTGGTGTGGGTCACCTGCAAGTAACGGTCGAAAGTTCTTAGTTGGAAAAGTAAAATAAACAATTGTAATAATGTAACACGTGTCAATGCTTGTCTGTCATAGCGCTAATGACGTGGTCCCCACATCTTGAGCCACGCGTCTCCCGTATTGTGCCCGGCAATTGCGTGTCACGTGGGCCTCCGTTTTTATTTTATTCATTGCGTTCACGCTAGAGCGCCATGTTAACGTCACCCCCACCACTATTTCACTTCCACCGGTAACCCGGCTTTCACCGGTTTCCCAACTCTTTTATTTATTTATTTATTGAGTTTGAGTGATAAACATGAGAATTTTAGTGTAAAAATATTAGTAATACCTATGTTTTGACTTCATGGTAAATCACATAAATTTAAATGAAAATTTTGGGATTGAATTGAGATGTGTAATATCATGGTTAGATTGAGATAATTTGAAATATACATATAAATTTAGAACGTTTTGAAAGAGGGTTGAGAAGTAACTACTTTTATGTCACTTTACGCTTTTCTCAAATATTAAATTTTTGTGGGTGAATGAATAGCATTGAACTTTTTGGTAATAGTTTCAATCGAATGTTACTATAACATATATTGCGTAAATTGAGAGACCCTAATAGACAAGTATTATCAAGCGAAAATACAAATAACATGATGTATTTATTACATCTAAAATTTTATCTCTATAAAAAGTTAAAAACTATCTACATATAAATTATATTACAATTATTTTTTATGTTTTTATTGTGTAAAACGATAAATAATATTAATTATTAATTACTATTAATATAACATTTGAAATTACACATTATAATAAAATATTCTTTTCAAAATTGTAAATTATAAATTACAATAACATATAATATTCAAATTGTAAATTATAAAAGTTTGAATTTTGTACTACAAGTTCATCATTCTAACTCTATTACTATAATAGGGGAATTTTGTTATTTTATAAATCTCACGGTGGCTGGGGTTAGCCAATCAAATTTTATGGGCATTATTGTTATTATCCAAAAAAAAAAAAAAAAACCCGGCCAAGCAAGTAGCACTACCTAACAAGCCACGTTTCAGTAAAACCTTCACAATAGATATCACAGAATCGTAACAGTCAGTGACGCAATCACAACCCACCTCCAAAAAAAGACTCCCTATTTAAAGTCTACTAAAATAATGATAAATTAATAAAATAAAATAAATTAGTAATTTTCTTATTAACAATAATAATACTGAGATAATTTCAATAGAAACTAGCTTGACTTTCTCATTCGATTTCTCTCAAAGTCTTAGAGATAAAGACCTCAGCTTTAAAAATTCCCCAAAGTTTTAGGGTTTTTAATTTCCTTGTACTTTCCTCCCAATTCAGCACACAGTAAGTAACTTTATCCAATTGGATTTCTGTATTTCTGGTTTGATTTTATTATTATGGATTTTGTGATTGGTTGATTGTGATTCGTTGGTTGCATGTTGTGTTATGTCACGTTGATGGTTTCTAGGGTTTCCGGAATTGTTTTTTTTTTTAATTGTTGCGTTTAATTGTGGGTTTTGGTGGGTGAATTGTGTTTGATTGCTGGGAAAACGCGGGTGAAGCTGGGAATTTTGATTTAGTTTGGATAGAAAAATGGGTGAGAATTGGTGAATTTCAGGTTTTGGTGATTGAATTTTATTTGGTTGCTGAGAAAGTGTTGGAAACTTGGGAAATTTCGGTTGATTGGGCTTCATAAGAGTGTGTGGTTTAGTTAAGTTTGTTTTTTAAGTACTTTTATGGGTAGGTTTTGAAGAGATAAAGAGAAGAAAGAACAGGAATTATAAGGTTATGTGATTGGTATAGTGGTTATATGATCTTACCTTGATTTTTGTCTGGCGGTATACTGCTTACTTTTTATGATGATTTGACTTTGCTGTGAAATCTTTTGGAGTTTTATGTTTTCAAACTATTGAAATGTAAAGTAAAAGAACCTAACTCTGCATGCATGATATTTCGCGTGATTCATTTCTTGTTTTGGGTTTTAAGTGAACAAGAGTAAGATCCTGTAGCAATTAAACAGTACCGGAATAGACTTTTCGGTTATTTTTCCTGAAAGGGTTGTTTTTTATTCTGTTTTTTTTTTAGGAATTTTTTTTTTTTTTCGATATTTGGATTGTTTGGATTGTTTGGATTGGAGGTTTGTTTTAAGTATTTTTTAATTATTCATAGTAGCCTAGCTAAAATTTTGGGGGATTATCTATTAGCTAGTCTAAGCTAGTCTTTGTAATACCCTGTTATCCTTTTGATTGTCATTCTAGTCAATGGTTAGATTATATATGTATTTGTGTAAATTTGATCTACGGTTTAGTTATGTGTGCTTGGTTTGCTGTGTATCTGCTTTATTTTTATGAAAGCCACATGATCTTTTATATTCAGTGTGTTTTCTGAAAGTTGGCTGACACTGAATGGATGTATTTGTATGTTAGGTCAGGAAATAAGTTATTCAGTGTTGTCTGAAGGAATTTGTAAGGCATGCGGCCAAAGTCTGAAAGTTCAAATCAATTGGAACCTGACCCACACGCCATTCCACCAGGGACTTATTCTGAACCCTGGTGGCGTAATGCTGGATATAATATAATCCCACCATCTGGGGCTGGTGCGAATCCATCTAATTCATCTTCATTGGAAGGCCCTAATGGTTTAGACTCAAATGATGGTCCATCAATGTCCAATGATGGAGTGAATGAGGAAGATGATGATGCTAACAAAGAATCACAAAATACTGCATCTTCACGATCAGGTAATTAACATATATACTATTTTTAGTGATTTGAGTAACAGTTATTACTCAATCAATGGCATAAGTTGATCTTTGAAAGAAAATGGATAAGTTTTATACATTTATTACTGTTGTGTTGTAGATTAAGTTGAGTCTTGATATTGGTTCTACATCAACGTTATGTTGGCAATAGAAGATAAACCATCACAAACTCAAAGGATACTACCCCAAAGCTATACTACTTGCTGCTGCTGCCTTTAGTGCTGGCAATGGATTTTAGTTGGTTATTGTGAAGATATGTGAAACAAATAGCTGTTGACATTGAAATTTGAACCTTTCATGTTGTCACAATGCAAGCTCTGTTGACTCTGTCCACCGAAGACTATAACTGCCAGAATGAATAAGAGTAGAACCAATTAGATGTATGAAATTATAGTTATTTTATGGATTATCTTGTAAAATTTTGGTGGTTCATTTATCAAATTTGAAATTTTGAACTGAAACCTGGTGCAGTTTATTTTATATTATCTGTTTTGGGTACCTTAGTTGTAGTACTTTCCTAGCATTTGTAAATATCCTGTCATCAAAAGCCTGTCTTAGCATGTCTACTTTTAAAGTTTCAAGGATTCATTTAATTGTTGGTTGCCTATTTCTGAGTTTCGACTGATTGTATACTGTCATTAATTACTGGTACCACAATGGGCAGAAGTATATGGTTCTGTTTTATGGTAAGAATTTAATGGTGATGCATTCTGGATACCAAATACTTTTCAAATCATTAATTGTTGTCTTCCATCAAGTTCCCTGAAGAACTTCCTTGTTATATCTGCAGGCACAGATATATATGTTGTCAACATATACCTGTAATTGTGATCTGTAAGCTACAATTTACTCTTCCGAAGATAGATTTATGTGACATATCTGCACATAAATTTTCTTGTCTGTTATTTACTAGAAAGTTATTTCTTTGTCACCCCGTTTGTTGGCAGTTTGTAAGCTACTATCTGCATATACCTTGCTCCGAAGTACATGACCATTGTGTATACCTTTTTTGATATGCTACAAACACTACTGTACCATGTCATTTATCAAGTTGAGAGAAATTTCTGAGCTGTCAATGCTGTGGGTGCTGTGAGATGCAAGGGGCTATAGATAAGGTTTCAACATTGCTTTTGGAAAGAAGTTTAGAGAGAAGAATTTTTTAGCATCAATTGCTGTGTGGTTTGAGAATTCTCTTTGGATTGAGAAATTGTTATGTGATGTTAACTATTCAGTTCTTACTATTTGCAATCATCAGTTAATCTAATTAGCTCTGGTTCATACCTGAAGAAGCTTTTTGCAACAATTTATTTGCTGATGTCAACTCTGTTCAGAGTAAGATTAATGTGTTAGACTACCCTACATTAATTATGTTTTTATTTTTTGTATTTTATAGTCAAGATTGTCAACGTCACCTTAATACTATAATAATATAATCTTGTATCCCAAAAATGTGTTTAAATGAATTATGCTTTGCCATTCACAATATGGGTATGCGATACCAGTTATATTTATGCTCTTGAACTTGTATCGGTATAGTGCATTTTGGTTTTAGCTGATGCAAAAAAAATAATTGGTTAGGAGACTAGTTAAACTCTTGTTTTGAATTTCAGTTGGACGAGAGCACCAAAATTTGCAGCAAGGTGCATCAACTATGCCTACGATGCCTGATGAATGCTTCCAACAGCCTCCACAGCTTGAACTTGTGGGTCACTCCATTGTAAGTGCCTTCATTTTTGTCTGTGATATACATATATTGCTCGGTATTTTTATAAATAGCCCTTTAGCTTTTGGCACTGAGAATTGGTTAAGCCTTTACTTCCTGTAATGTGTAAAGTACGAGAGCTTGTACTTATTTTTGGAACAGAAGGGATTCCTAGTTTTCTTGCAACTTTTTGGCAGGCTTGTACGTCAAATCCTTATCAGGATCCGTATTATGGAGGAATGATGGCAGCTTATGGACATCAACCTATGGTATGTTGATATCCATTGTTGATCAGGACGCCTCTTTGGCTGTTTGATTGTGTTATACCCTAATGGTTAGCTTAATCTTTGTGGATTACCTTCGTTCTTTTTCTTTCTTTTTTAACAAAAATCCATGGTTTGAAAGTTGAAGTTTAATTTCTTGGGAAGTTACAAGTTATGTTTATGTTTGGGTGCTTTCATTCCTTCTGATTGGATTGCAGTTTTAGCTTGTTCCTTTAAATGTAAGATTTAGTATTTTGGCCAGATTATTATGTAAATGGAAGTCTTAATACTTTGATTTTTTAAAGAAGAAAAATGTTTGTGATTCAGTCTGTTTAATTCTGCAGAGAACTTGAGAGACACTATTCTTCTGTAAAAAGCATCTAAATTTGGTTTCTTTTTCGTTTGAATAAACTCTTGGTAGTTGGAAATCAAATGAGTCTGCCTTTTTATAGTATCATGTCTTGAACTTGTTTTTCCTATTTTGGCTTGAAATTAGGGAGTTCCTAGGCTTAATGTGTTGAAGAATTGAGTGAGCCTTTAATGAATGCTTTAATTGTCTACTCCAGTTGTTAAATGAAATTGAATGACCATTGTCCCATGTATAATTGTGTATGGCTGTACTTCCTGTTATTTGAGCTTGAACTGAGCCAGTTGGCTGGTAGTTCTCCATGCAAACAGTGTGATATTCAAGCCGGCTGAGCTTGAATGCTACAATGCTTGCTTAGCCCAACTTGTCTCACCCTTTCTTATCTACTTACCAACTGTATTATGGAGTTGGAATGTAAAATTATGTTGGAATAGAATTATATCTCTAGTTGCCTCTTCTCTCTATCTTTTTTTAGATCCCAAAACCTTGTTTGAGAGTAAAAATTTTAAAATCTTTGACCTTTTTTACAGTCATGGAGGATGGTTTAAATTCTTTAAATGTGATGACCTAGCAAAGTGTTATTGCATGAGCTGCAACCCCAAAGCCAAAATAATATTAAAAAAACTTTCCTCCTTTCTACACCCTTTTGTGTTTATATTGTGAATAGTTGTTGGAATCAAGGCAATGGGCATGAAACAAAATGTGGTTGAGTTGTCTTTTAACTCAGGTCATTGCATTTATTTTCTAGGCCTTGATCAGGGAGGACTTCCTTTTCCGGTCTTTTTATTGACTTTTTCCTTTTCTAAACAGAAGAGTGAGGGAGTAACAAGAATTTGGCTGTAACATACTTTGCTTCTAATCTTTGAAAATTGTAGAACCTGGAATTTTTTTTAAGCAATCCTTGCAATTATCAGGGTTATCCTCCTTTTGTTGGAATGCCTCATGCTAGAATGCCTTTGCCCCTTGAGATGGCCCAAGAACCTGTTTATGTGAATGCCAAGCAATACCAGGGGATTCTGAGGCGAAGACAGGCACGTGCCAAGGCAGAGCTTGAAAGGAAGCTGATAAAAGTTCGAAAGGTAAATATGCGTATTTCATTCTCTTAGTTTCAGGATATTTGTGCACTCTGACGTTTTACTGTAGATAATATGGAGTAGCATACATATTCAGTGTGGGAGTTGCTCAATGTCCTAGTGCGTAGTTGCGACTGCAAATATTTTCAACAATTATAGTTTGGATAATAAGGGATTTATTTGGATGGATTATTACATCATCATGTGCTACTGCGATATTTTATTAACAAGATACATTATTTGATTAATTGGCGTTGTTTGTACCGTTTTGAATTCAGTATGTTAATTGATTCTATGTTCTACAGCCATATCTTCATGAGTCTCGACACCAGCATGCTATGCGAAGAGCAAGGGGTACTGGTGGACGCTTTGCAAAGAAAACTGGTGGTGATGATTCCAAAGGCACAGGTGAAGAGAAGGGTAGCGGTTCAGGGCCAGTTCGTTCATCTCAGTCTGGTAGTTCATCAGGATCTGAACCCTTGCCATCTGACTCTGCTGAAACCTGGAATTCCTCCACTAGTCGACAAGATGCAAGAGGGTCGCAAGTACATGACACACATGAAGCTAAAAATCATGTAAATGGCAATGGCCGCTACCAGAACAATGGTGGCTTGCAGGTGTCAACATACCATTCACACCTTAGCGACAGAGGAGATGATGGAGACTGTTCAGGCCAGCAATGGGGAAGCATCTCTTCGAACCAGGCTTCACAGAGGCCTCTTGCCATTCAGTGAAAACCCTCTGTGGGCAAGGTGGGCGCCAAGATGTAGGATCTAGACCCAAGTGATATAATATGGAGAAGGGTAACTTCTTGGTTGTCTGGTGACCACTCTTGGCAATTCATTGCCAGGCGGCAAATCATTCTTGGCTTTGTTCTTTTGCATGGATTGTGGGTGAATGGGGAAGAAGAGATGAATGCTTCTATCATTCTTTCCATCTTTTGTTTTGTACAGTGATCATGTTGAATTAAACAAAACTAGAAATAGTTTGTGGAGGAACTTTAAACAAACAAACAGCAGTCCTTTCCTTTTCTGTGAAACTAGACAAAAAGTCTTACCCTCTGTACTTAAAATGTCATGATAGTGTTAATGGGGTGACAGCATTGACTGAATTTGTGTGCCATTGGTGGTGACTTGAACAAATTACTTTTCTGCTTCTGGAGTTTCAGCTATTAAAAAGTCTGAGCTGTGATTTTTCTTATAGTATTTTATTCTCTTTCAAATGAACACCGGAATCCCTGCATTGATAATATAATAATGCAAGGAGAGGCCTTGACACAATCAAAACTATAGTACAAAGCAGGCTGGTTCATAATAGTACAAAGCAGACTTCACAATGCGTGGCCATTTCCCATTGGAGTGCCAGTTCAAAAGAATCCTGAAACACCTCAGATGCAAAAACAAGTATAGTATAAGAAGCAATTTGCCAACATCTATCTCACAGTTTGATTGTTGTAAAAGAATGCAAAAACATTTCCAGAACAAGATAAATAAGCGGCATAACAAAAGCTTACACTATTCGATATCGATGAAGGTGCATTATCAATAATAAATCCTATAGTTAGCATTGTAATCTATATTCATAAATCTGTCAAAAAGGCACAGTTTAGAAACTCAACTGCTTTATTGTCATGCTTTATAGTATTACACTCAAAATTAAGCCAAAAAACTCGCAAAATTAAAAAAAAAAAAAAAAAAAAAAAAAAGAGAGAGACAACAATGCTCTCTGTGTGCTACACGTAGCAGGTATTTATCATATATTGTCGTGATGTTGCTGTTGATGTTGATGATTGTCTTGTGTGTTTCCAGTTTCTTCATTCTCATGTTGCTCTAAAATGGTTTCTGCAATTCTATCAGAAGCGGTAGTCTTCTCTGAGCTTGTTTGGCTTGTGTCTGAAAAATTTCTGTCCGGTTCTGTGGCATTAGCCACATCTGGCTGCTTCTCCATCATCCCAGACAGGGCCAACCTTGGATTCCACTCAAGAACATCATCAATTATGTTTGACATCCGCTTATGATACCTGAAAGAGTAAAATTGGCACTTTAGACCCAACCTCATGAAGGCACCTGCAAAATGTTTCTCAAAACCCCTCTTTGGAAGAGAGCTCTTAAAAGCTTAATGCACATTAAAGTAAGTCCCACTAAAGAGATTATGAACATAACAACCTCCGCGGTGATGAAATAATTCATGATGACCGGTTTTATCCAACAACAAATAACTAATCATCCATTTAAACAATGATGGAATCTCAATATCTCACTAGATCAATACATGTAAACCATATATACAGACTGTAATATAAACAATAAAAGAACCAAACACTCATTCAAAATTTTCGAACTAATGTTTCTTCCGTAGGGAAATTAAATGACTGCATTTTGCAAAAGAAAACAGCATTTAATCCAAAGTGGTGATAAGAGGAGCAACTAACCTGGCTCTAGCAGCTTCGTCAGGGGCATGGTGCCTTAGCAATAATATTACCAGTACAGCTACTACAGCAAAGAAAAGTCTTGCTGTCCACTTAGGCCGTTCCTCTTCATCTTTCTTGGGCCAGAACCGGAATAATTCCCCTAATGTTGCTTCCTCAGCTAGAATGTTAGGGAAAATCCAAACACGCTTTCCAAGAATAACCCATATAGCACCAAATATTGCAGCCCTCACTTCAAATTTACCACCCAAAGAAAAAAAAGATCTCAGTAAAAAATTTTAATATACAAATACAGGAAATGGTTATAATTACATGGTTACAGGATTAAATACTAAATAAACACAACAGAAATTTTTGGTGCCCACACATGAAAGATTGAATAATTGATCATAATCTAAATGGAAGGTGCAAAATCCTTGCTATTGCACAAGAGAAGCACTTTGAATTTAAATACATAAAGGCAGAATATGCACTTGGCCATCAACAAACACAAAAGAAAGAAATTTACCATTGCACTTTCTGACCCAAACCAAAATTAGATTGAAAAATAAATGGTACAGTTAAATACAGATCAATGAAGCAAGAATATGAGTATGAGGTCAAACATAGCAAATTTAGAACAACAAAATTGCAACTTGTGGCTCATCAGACAAAGAAGTGGTAGATGTGAAAATTAATCACCAAGTTACTGACATTATGCTTAATACCAGAATCCATCATTGCACAAAACTATAAGAATCAACAAACCCAATTAACATCTTCATACTATCATGCTTTCATAGAAAAAATCAGATTCCTCTTAGTTCAGAAAGCAAAAGGACTTAAAAAAAGTCGCAAATGTAAGCTACTAAATAATATAAAAAGGATTCAAGATACAATAGAATAAAAAAGAAGAAGATAAAAGTATAATATCTAATGAAGCCATAAAGCTTACCCAGGAGTAAAGAGAGAATAACTAGCAAGACCCCCGCACAAGAATAAAGTATTAATAGCTTGCACCGATGTGGATAAACAGGAAACAAGCAAATTGCAAGGGTCAGGACGGGCCAGCAAAATGAGAGAAGCGTTTGCCACAAAGGCCGCCGTTTCACAAATGTCCACGCAAAAAAGGCATCATTATCAGAAAATATTTGCTCCTGTAATAAAGAAAATCACAGCATTAGAACAAGGAAAAAAATATCTAGAATGAAGCACAAAGTAAGAAGAAACGAAGATGCTTTGAAAATGCTTGTAATTTTACCCAAAAAAAGGATGTATTCAAGAACTTCAGATGGTTCAATCAAGTTGTTTTTATCCCTAGCATTCAAGTTCCTCTTGCTTGATGCAGGAGCACATATGTCTATGTTTACACGTATAAAGTGGATAAGATTTACCCTTTCAGCAATTACAAAATACAACTTGGACATCATGGATAAAAGCAAGCACAGGAGGAGATCAAAAGGTAAGGAATAACACAGTAAAATTCTATTAAATTACATCCAAAAAGAAGACATACATGATAAAAAAAAATGTTTTCTGAGAAATAGTAGCTCATGACATGTACAAATTGACACGTATGTCACGGAAAACATTAAAGGTTTAGTGCACAATATTTACTGCAAGCTCAGGAGATCACCTTAACTGAGCTGCAAAACGAGCACTTTGTTACAACCACTAAACCCAGACAAGGATTCAGGTTCAAAGCACGATGTGCGACTAAGAAAGGCCAGGAAACCTATTTTTATCCCTAGAAAACTAATAAAAAGCACAAAATGAGCCCCCCTAAGATACAGGTTCTAGTACAAGCCAACAGGACATGCTTCAAAGTGATCGTTGGAGCATAACTTTTTCATCATACAAATAAATCCTAAAATATAGAGATGGCATCATCAAATCTCACTGGAAGAGAAGTTCAAGTGGCTTAAGAGCCTCATGTAGATTATGACCACTCAAATATTTCACTGCATCAATCTTTATATAAAAGTTTAGAAGGAAGACTTACAGGGAAGATCTCTAAATGTGCTGGCCAGGTAGACAACTTCTTTTTCCCAGGACGTAAAGTTTTCACCACACGATCACAGCGCACCAAGAGATTCTTTCTTAATAGAGCATTGGCAATATCTTCAGTTTCTAGATTCTTGTCTGATTCTAGTATTTCTTTAAGCTCTGGATGATTTCTCAAAAAGCTTACAAAATCCTTACCTCTAAAATATTCTACTCGAGTTTCCTGCAATACAGCCCACCTAGATTCCAACTCTTTATGGTCTCTCACCTTCTCAGCAAACAACTGGTAAACATCCTTCTTGGCAGCTTGTTTCTACAGAGAAAGTAAAAAAATACATGAACAACAATTAGATGGCGGAGACAAATAAGACAACAGAAAGATGTTCATAATACTAAGATCAGAAATATATAAAACTATCCGCACAGAAAAAGGTGAGCAAAATTTAGACAAAGATAAGCAACTGGTCTAAGCAAGGCAATAAGATTGATAATAAATAAATAAGGTTACATACAGGACCACAGAAACAGTGAAGACTCCGTACGTAAGCATTTCATCTTATTAGCAATTCTACAAATAAAATGAAAATCCTGTGACCCGAAAGAAAATGAGAACCAAGTTTTATAACCGTCATACAAATTGTGCATCGATAAATTGAAGCACTAAATGTCAATCCAAAACTCAACCTTTGTGCTATTACCAGCTTTCATGTTCTCATTTTGAAGGCTATACCAACCAACACAATAACGATTCAATTTCCCTTAACCGTTATTTACCCGTTAGCGAAACGAAAACATAGAACAAGTGTAATCTAAAGCAAAGTTTATTTCCTTTCATTTAGTAATGTTCTATCATCTACCATCTATCAAGGGCTAAAATCCCACTTTATTTTCATTACAACAACCCAATTCTTCCCTACATGAAAACCATTACCTCTACTTCCCAAAAACAAAAAACAAAAAAAATAAATAAAAAACACCACCAAACACACATACAATCCTCAAATTCACAAAAACAAAGCATGATTACATCAAAATTTCTCCAACAAATTAATCTCCTTTCCCCTCTTTCAATTGCTAAACGCCACAAAAACGGATCAAAACAATAACACAAACATTTCCCACAAAGGCCTCAACTTTCAAAACAGTTAAGCATTAAAACACAACCTTTATTCACCAACTAAAAAATGTCCATCATAACACAAACATTTAAACCTACATAAAACCTGACGAACACAAAATCCCAGATCAGGAAACAGAACAAAAACAACGAAACGAGATGTGGATATGTGTCGTTTCACAGAAAAGTGTAAAGACAAAGCGAGAGAGAGGGAAAAACCCTAGGTGGGGTATCGTTGCTGGGATCTCTGGTGCTGTTTTGAGAGGCTGCTGATGATCTTCGCACCCTTTTTTTCTCTGCTGCCCCTGCTTTCTTCATCTCTCTGTGGTTTTGTTTTGTGATTTCTCGTCTCTCTCTTTCTTTTCTCCAAGTGTTGTGTTTTTGTTTTTTATTTTATTATTATTATTTCTGCTTTTCATGTTTCTTTTTTTACGGATTAAATCCATTTAGTGCCCCTGATTTATCCAAAAATCAATCTGGTACCTGTGTTATCCGAATTCTCCAATAGCTTCCTCTACTGGTAGTTTTTTCCGTTAAAATTAACATTTGATTGATTTTAACTACTAGATGTCAATATAGCCTTTAAAATAAACTTTTTGAAAATTCTAAAAGAAAAACCTAAAATTAAAAAAAAAAAAAAGAGTAAAAAAATCAAAATTATATTAAATTCTTAAACAGTTTTAAAGAAGCAAAAATCATAAAGAAATTAAACTTAATAATATTTTTTTCTAATTTTATTTAATTTTCTTGTGTTTTAGGTAACTTTATTAAATTTTTGATGTTAAGTTAATTTTTTTTTTTTTTTGAAAATTTTGGATATTTTACTTAATTTTATAGAAGCTTAATTTTAGAGATAATTTGGTCATTTCATAGGTCACAATTGGTCAAAAGTTAGATTTAACGGACAAAACTAAAAGTAGGGTTGTATTTGGATAAACATAGGGACCAGATAATTTCGGGAAACTCTGGGGTACTAAATGGATTTAGTCCTTTTTCTTTCACAAAAATATTTCATGTTGCTTTGCCCACAAATCTTGTCGTGTTGAAATAAATAAAACACCCAAAACATTTTTGGTCAATCACTCTGTTTTCATTTCTTTCACCAATGAGATTGTGCCATGTCATATGTATATATAAGAATAATTAATTTCGTCGGCTGTGAGATGGTTAATGAATTTTTAAATTTTGTTATATTTTTAATAAAGTTTTGGATAATTTCCAAGATATTTAATAGTTTTCTAAAATTGCTTAATGCTTGAAATTTTAATAATTTATGAACTATTAAAAAAATAAAATAAAAAATACAACGCTGTAGTTAAAGGATTACATCTTGTTATTATTATTATTATTATTAAGTAAGATTTGATGTCATAATTGGTATTAAATAGAAGATTTTGTGAGTACATACACATTAAATACAATTTCCACATTCAATGTTTTGATTCTTTTTTACTCTTAATAACCACAAAGATAATAAAAAATTTAATATTTAATTATTTTTTTCTACAAACATTTTACTATACAAATTATTTTGACATTATTATTTATTGTGTTGAATTTTATGTATATTATTCTATTTATCATAAAAAGATTTGACGTGCCAATAATTATAACCAACATAGATATAATATTAACTAATTAGATAAAACCTAGTGATTCTAATATCATAAATTATTAAAATTTTATGTGGGTAGCATTAAACTAATGGAAAATTCATGATTGTCAACAAAATAGTCAAATTTTGGAGCTACTTTTCTTGTATTTTATAAGAAAATTATGTTCCATTATTAAATGAGGAGACCTTTGAGTATGCTTGTGGTCAATTAGGAGGTGAAAAAAATATTTCAATTAAATAAATTGAAGTAAAGTGTAAGTTTTGACATAAATAAGAAAAAATTATTCCTTTATTTATGTTGTTATTGAATTTAAATGAATGTTGAATTTATTTAAAACCCTCTATGCATATAAAAACTTATACGAAAACTTTTCAAAGGCCACGTTGGGCCTAGTGCGGGTTGTTGACCCCATTGGGCCCAATATGGGTCCGTTCTTATGGACTATTGAGAGCGAAATATAGTTAATATTACCTTCTATGTAAGCTAATAGATTATACCTTGTATTTTCCGACAAACATTTTCTATCTCCCAATCCTCTAAGTGTTAAAAACCGAGGCTTCCTTTGGTTCAAAATTTGGGGGTTTTGGGAAAAGTTTTTTAAAAAAAGTTAAAAAAAAGTTGAATTGGGCGGATATTATGAGGTACGATTTATAAATGAATAAAATACCCCCTATATTTTTTTTTTTTTTACAAAATACCCCCTATAATAAAACATTAAAAGTTAACAAAAACACCCATAATCCACCCTCAAATACCTCCAGTCGGCCACCACCACCGGAGGTGGCCGGAGTCGTCTTATCGACGCATGACCGGTTGGATCTTGCCGGTCATACGCCGCTATGGTCTTTTTCGGCCAGATCCACCGGCAAAGGCCAAATCTACGGTCAGATCTGGCCGTATTTGCTCTCAAAGACGACCGTTTGTTGGCCTTCGTGACCGACTGTTACGGCCAAAGATCTGGCTGTTAACGGCCAGATCTTTGGCCTTAGATCTGGCCTTTTCCGGCCAAATCCACTGTGGATCTGGCCGGAAAAGGCTAGATCAGCGCACTACTGGCCAGATTCAGCCGGTAGTGCGCCATCCTACCAGATTCCGGCCATTTTCCAGCGGTGGTGGCCGGAATCTGGTAAATGTGGATTGTTGGGGTGTTTTTATAATTTTTAAAAAAATATTTAGGGGTATTTAATTAAATTAACAAATTTAGAGGGTTTAAAAAAAATTGAATAATATTGAAAGTAGTATTCTCAAAAATGAGAGTTTTTGGGTATTTTACTATTTAACTTTTTTGGGAATACTAAGAGTAGTATTCCCAATTTTGAACCAAACGAAGGCCGAGGTTTTTTCCGATATCAAACTTGAATTTTTTAGATGTATGCCCAATCTAACCTGAGAAGCCCGGCCCAACCCGGCCCAGCCCGGCCCGGGGTAGTTACATATCTAGAGTGAGGATCAGCTATAAAAAGATATTTATCGTGAAAAGACATTAATGTCCATTCAGTTTTTATCGTTAAGCCATTGTTGCAGTTGCTAAGGTTTGGAGTTTTGCACTGAATTTCCCAGAGTTCAAATGCTTTCTTCACTTCTCAAAATCTCAACTTTATCACTTTCCCACATCTCTTTCATCTCCAACAGCCCTAAAACACTCCCTTCTCAGTCACTTCTCCGTTGTGGTGGTGGTGGTGGTGGCGGCGGCGGCGGTTCTTCAGCTTGTATTGTTCATGCAGGAGAGAAAGATGCACAGCAGTTTGAGATTGACCCAGATGAGGCCAAAGCCGCCCTTCAAAAACTTGACCAGCAGCTCCAAACCCTCTCCCGAAAACAACCTAGAACTCCAAAGATAAAGGGTACTTTTTATCAGCTCAATTATTATTTTTGTTTTCATCATTTTATGATAATGTTTTCTATTCTTATTCTGATTTTTTGAAAATGTTGAAAATGATTGGAAAATGCGAAAAATAGTATTTAAAAATCTGCTTCTTGAGGTTATGATTTGTGCAGAAGCATGACTGAAAACTTATGAATGAATCAATTCTACTTGTCTAGTCGAATTCCAGTTATGCATTTATCCTGTTGAGGAAAGTGATGCATGGCTTTTTTAATTCATTTTTACTTAAGCTTTCTATCAGTAATTGGTGAGTGTAAAGTGCGTTTAACTTCATAGCGGAATAGCTCAGACGATGATGGATGAAGCAGGGCTTTTGTTCTTCTTTCCCCTTGCTGTATTTTGTCTCGATTTTGACTATGCAATGATTATAAAGCAACCGATTTTAGAAGAAAACTCAGGTTTCATGAACTATAGTAATGAAAATCCAGGTTTTCGCCTGCTAGTGATACCAGTTTAGTGGTAAATTTTAGTGCAGATGTGACCAGAATGAAGGCAGTAGAGCCATTTTTTAGTACACAGTTGCAGCTTATAAACTGCATTAAATATATAGGCTTTTGGATTTCTGCATTTTTTGAATTATTATTGCTACATTCAGAAGATTGTTGTGTCAATTGATCGATAATCTTTCTTTTGCACGCAAACTGTAATTGGTCATTACTCAATACACTTTTAGAATCATGGACAAACCTGTTAGGGGGCAAAGGGGGGCTGGTGACCCCACTCAAAAAATTCACCAATTCTACTTAATTTTCTGTTTTGATTAGGTTGTACTCGTGTTAATGTTTATATATTTGACCCCACTCACTTTTTCTATATGTATATTAAATTATTTGCAATCCCACTTAGTTTCCCAAATTAATATTAAATCACTTAACTTGCTTCCCTAACGTTAATTCCTGGGTCTGTTCCTGCTTAGAATATGTGTGTTAGGATTTCTGTAGGTTTCTTTATATCTTATTTCCTCTGGCATCTGTTTTGATGCATATTGAACTCTGGCCCTTTGCACTTCAGTTAAAGTTTGAAGCTGCTTAAGTTTCAAACAAGAAAGCATCAGGATAGTTAATTTTGTCAAGTTTTCAGAGCTTGCCAAGTTTTGGTTTTCAAGTGAGGTTGATATCAAGATTGCATTATTTGTGCCTAAACGTTTTGATTTTCCGGTTACTAATTGCAGCGAAGGATGTGAAGCTTACAAGGGGTCCAACAGATGAAGAAATGCCAGAAATTTCAGGCTCTTTCCTTACCAATACTGCTTTTGCTCTCCTCATCTTCACCATACTTTACAATGCACTATTTTATGGAGTAATAAAGCCTGCTATAGATGGACCTGATGATGTATCAGAAGCTCCTCCGCCTTCCATGGTGACAGAATCTCCGAACGCAGCAGTTTTGCAGTCGCTGCTCTCAGTACCGAAAGATTTCCTTCAACTCTGAAATGTTGATTATCTGTAAAAATGCTTAAATTAGAAACTGAAACCCTTTTCGAGTCTTAGAATATTTGAAGTAAATATATACTTGAATTATCCGAAATCGTTTTGAATGTTATGAATTGCGAGGCTTGAGCATGGTTTTTGGTGAAGTATTAATTTCGTAATATGAAGGTGAAATTTCTGAAACCCAAGAAATGATCAATCAAATTTATAATACAATGTCCTCACACCCGTAGGTACGAGACTAATTCCCGAATGGTGCTTGAGTAAATGTCTCTGGCCACAAGATGCTTCTAGTGAAATTCAAAGGTATAAGACTAATTTTTGAACGGGCCTCGAGTGAATGCCTTTGGCCATGAGCTGCTTCTAGTGAAATTTGAATCTTTGACATCATAGGTAAAGTTCGCTCACTGACAATCCAGTTCGATAGCTCGTAATTTAAATTTCAATACTTTAAATAAGCTTAAAAAGTGCTTATGGAAGAAGCTCAAATTCTATAAACAATTTTACGATCCAACCAAACAACTAAAAGACCCTTGTCGAGTCTTAGAATATTTGAAGTAACTAAATACATGAATTATCCAAAATCATTTTGAATGTTATGAATTGCTAGGCTTGAGCATGGTTTTCGGTGAAGTATTAATTTGGTGATATGAAGGTGAAATTTCTGAAACCTTTTCGGAATTTGATTTTGTAAAATAGGTCTTTTTGATGTTGCGCCTTAAGATGTCAACACATCCGAAGGTATAAGACTAATTCTCAATTGGGGGTCAGGTAAATACCCCTGGCCATAAGCTGCTTCCAGTGAGTTTGCCTATTGGGAGTCTAGTTATCAGTTGAGTTACAGTTGGCAATTTAAATTTTAATACTTTAAATAAGCTTAAAAAGTGCTTATGGAAGAAGCTCAAATTCTATAAACACTTTTACCATCCAACCAAACAACTAAAAGGCTTTTAAAAGTGTTATAACTTTAAATAAGTTCTTTCGGACAATATATAAGCTTAATCGACAGATGATTGAGATTATATTTCACGTGCAAAATAATGCGATCTCAAAAATAAAATATGCTAAATAAATAACAAATAATTATATTTTTTGAATTTTTGCCTAAATTTCAATTCAGAAAACCCATAAGCTCAAAGTTTATTTATTTGCATTATATGTTGGAATTTGTTGTCTTTTTTTTTTTTTTTAATTGCATTTAATCTTTTATTTTTCAATTAAATTATTTTTCGTCTTTGACCACTTTTTTTTTTATGTTTAATTAAATTAAATTTGACCTTCAAAATCAAAGGGCCTGCACTCACCAAACAAATCAAATCTATGGAACTATTTGGCCGGCCATATTAATTAATTAAAACATTTTCAAGAGTCATATTAAGAAAATAATATTATTTATTATTTATTGAATAATCAAATTTTATCTCAACCAATTTGATATTTTATTTATTGGGCAAACCACTATCTTGTAGTGACATTTTTTTTTAATTATTATTATTATTTTTTTAAATTTAAAGCAATGAACCTTTTGTTGCTTCTCCAAAATTTATTATTTTTATCACATTAAACCTCTTACGCCTAAGGTTTACAAATTACAGACGGTCCAGAAGTTGTAGTTTACACAACTACACCTTTACTATAATTTTTTTTTCCATTAATAGAAACTTTATTGAATTACTATTAAATGACAAAATTACCCCTAAAAATAAATTCTTAAAATAATAAAAGACCGGTTCTAAAAGATTATTTAAGAAACCAAAAGCAACAAATTTATTAAATTCATAAAAAAATTATATTAAACCCCGCCAAGTTTGACGAATTTCTTTTTGTCGAGCTTATTATACAAATAATTTGTCGTTAACTCAGAAGTCAAATCACAAAATAGTTTTTACACAAGGGTGGTGATTGTAAATATCCCAAACCTTGAACCATATGTAATTTTCACAAACCGAAGGGGTATGAATAATTTTATTCTATTATTATTATATAATATCATTGTTAATGAATTATTAAAAATCCAAGAGATTACAAAGTTTGGATCTAGATCTCAATTCTAATCATCAAAGACATACGCCTAATCCATCATTTATTTATAATTATGATTAGGGTTATTTTTTTCCTTCAATTTCTACAGATTACTCCAACCGTTATCCATATTGATTAATTAATTATGATTTTATATTTAATTTATTTGACCGTTAAAAAGATTAAAAGTCAGTTACAAAATCATCCATTATTTGGTCTAAATTAATTTAAATTCCTTAATAAAAACAAATAAGTGATTTGACTAGTGAGTCTCAATTAAATTTTTTAAAATATAATTTTTTATATTTTATATAATATAACTAAAGCATCTTCAAACTTAAATAAGTTAATATATCAAAATAAGATTCCTTTAATTTGTATTATCTTTATTTTTTTATATAAGACCTGTGTATGTGATTCTTTTGTAAGTTTTAAAGCACTGATTATGTTATGTTAATTTTTGAAATAAACGACTATAAAATTATAAAACCGTTATCTTAAACATGTTTCGATACCATATAGTATAAAAACAAAAATATGACAATAAGAATTTAAGTTGATATAAGCCAAAAAATCTCCAAATCAAAGGGCTGCAAAATTGGAGTTATTTAATTCATGAGTCAATAAATAATTAATGAAATGCAAGTGGTTTTGACCAAAATTAATTAAAAAAAAAAAAAACTTTGTTTTGATCATTATCGTTTCCTTAATCAATATTAAATATATATAATTTTTTTAATTTTAATTTTGCATAATCTAGAAAGTTTTAAGCATTTGATCTATCTTCTCAACTTTCACAATTTAATTGTGGTAGGTTAAAAGTGAACTACCTTTTTTCACGTTTTATTTATTTTTTAATTATTAGTATATATATATTTATGAATTAAAATTATATTATACAATGGGCTTGTCTTTCTAGAAACCTATTTTTTTTTCCTAAACTATTTTCATGTTTTTGAAAAAAAAAAAAAACTAAAAGGGCTTTCTAAAATATTTGTATCTCCACTTAAAATAATAAAATAAAAACGATTTAACTACAAAAAACACGTTTTGTTTCTCTCATATATATCATTTTATTAGTATAAAATAAAATAAGATAAACATTGACGATATGAAATAATAATTAATTGATAGTGATAATATTAATTAATTTATTTATTTATTCAAACTTTATTTATACATTTTCAAAATTGATCAAATCTTTATTTATTCCAATGATAAAAACTTAAAAAAAAAAATACCAATAATTTATCCTTAATTTAATGAGGTATTAGGTAGATCGAATAGTATACATAACACATAATATCGACTTATAAATATTTTGTTATTCTGGATGTTATTTCGTGTATGCTCCAATAAAAAAATTCTTTATTTGGGTAACGTTAACTAATATAATATATTAAATACTATAATTACCCAATTTTTTTTAAAAATTAAATTAGGATGTAAAACCCAAAACTAAAATTGGCAAAAATTAAAATGTTTTTATTTGTTTATGTATGTTGGATTTATGGGTATTTTGGGAAAAGAAAAGTTAAAGAACAAAGAAGACAGAATGGTTGTTCTTCTGTCTCCTTCCTACGTTGAATCCTAAGAAGACAAAAGTTACAAAACACTACGAAATTTCGCATAATTTTTAATTTTTTTTTAATTTTTAATTACAGAGACTGCAAAAGCACCAAAGCTTTGACTCTCTCCATTTCATTTCACATTTATTTCCAATTATTTTCATTATTTATCCACTCAAAACCCTTCATTTGTGGTGCAATTTAAGGCAAACCTCTTCGTTTTTCTAACCCCATCTGGGTTTTTGGTTTTTTTTTTTCCCTCGAAGTTCCCATCTCAGCATCAAGGGTTCTTGCAAATCTCAGGTGGGTTTTTTTCTTTTTTCTTTTTTGTTTATTTTTTTATTATTTCATTTAAAGTTTCAATTTTTTTAATTTCTGGGTTTGGTAAGTTTTTGAGACTAGAAGAGAAGAAATTTTGAATTTTTTTATGAGCTTTGGTGCTGTTGGGGGGTTAATAGTTTTGGATTGTCTGTGATGGTTGTTTTTTAGACGTTGAAACCTTCCAAATTTGTTGGAAAGTGCCTTTAGGGAAAACACTTTTGCTTTGCTGAAAGGGAATTGATGTTATGTTGATGAAGTTTTGATTTTGGGGCATTGGTTTTGTGATTTGCTTGTGGTTTTTTGTATAGGAAGGTCAAAGTTTGATTTTGTTGATCTTATATAAATTAACCAGGTCTTGTTGGAACGTCAGGGAGATTTTGAGAATTTTGAAGCTTTGAGTCATGGGAAATTGCTGTACAACACCTACCTCTTCATCTCAGAAGAAAACAAAGGCGAGAAGGAACAAACCAAATCCATTTTATGGTGATGATTATGTAGTAAGCAATGTATCTGGAACCCATAAGCTCAGTGTACTGAAAGACCCCACGGCTCATAATATTTCAGTTCAATATGATCTGGGTCGTGAGCTCGGACGAGGGGAGTTTGGTGTAACATATTTGTGTACTGATGTAAATACTGGTGACAAGTTTGCTTGCAAGTCTATTTCAAAGAAGAAACTGAGGACTGCAGTGGATATTGAGGATGTGAGGAGAGAGGTGCAGATCATGAAGCATTTGCCTAAGCATCCAAATATTGTGTCATTGAAGGATACTTATGAGGATGATAGTGCTGTGCATATTGTGATGGAGTTGTGTGAGGGAGGAGAGTTGTTCGATAGGATTGTTGCGAGAGGGCATTACACAGAGAGAGCTGCTGCTGCAGTCATGCGGACCATTGTGGAAGTTGTGCAGGTTCAGATAATTACTTTGTTATTGAATTTCCATTTTTATGAATTTGATACTTATGGCCTTAAATAGGATTTTCAATTACTGAATTACCTATCATATTATTTTTAATTTGTTTTGATGTGGTTTAGACATTAATGGTCTGCGGAGATTTACTCTTTGATAATTTAGAATTTTGGAAAGTATGATATTGATATCCTGCAATTGGTTTTGTACTAGATGAGTTTTTGGAAGTTCTTGCACACACAGGCCTTTGAAGTCAAATATTAATATTGAAACTCATTTAAATTATTTGTGCTATGACTTCTGCTTTCTTTTTCGTTTTTTTCCCTCTTTCTTTTGTTTTGGTTACCTACAAATCCTTTTTTTTTTTTTTTAAAAATTTAATTTCTGGGTATTCTCCTGAAGGATTCTGTTTGTGAAAGTTGGTTTTTACACAGATGGATAACATTCCTCGAAAATTTTGAATCAAGTTTCCTTAAAATACTTCCACTTAATTGATTTTCTGATTCCTTTTGCCCTTTCTTTGTCTAGCACTTGACTTGCTGGGATTTATTTAGTGGTTTCATTAACTCTTATGTCTATTACATCTTTTAGAAGTTGGCTTCTTAAACTTCTCAATACTCATTTTGATACAGAATAATTGTTTCAGTCATTTTGAAGTTGGTTTCTCCATAAAGCTTAAATGTTCTGTGTTAGTGCATCTTATCATGTGGTTTACCCCATATGACATATATGATATACCTGTGCATGTGTGCGTGCATGCATGTGTTTTGGACCATTATATTCACTTACTCTGGTTCTGCTCTAACTTATGTGGTTCTTGTTAAGTATGCTATCATTTTGGTGAAATTCTTGCACCATAATCTTAATTTTCTCTTTTTGTATTATTGTCCCATTTTAGGTGTGTCATAAGCATGGAGTGATGCACCGTGATCTCAAACCAGAGAATTTTCTGTTTGCAAATAAGAAGGAAACTTCTCCATTGAAGGCAATTGATTTTGGGCTGTCAGTCTTCTTCAGACGTGGTAAAGCGCTATATCCTAGCTCTTGCATGTACCTATATATGTGTTATTTTTATTATTTTTATTCTATTTTTAATTTAGCTGGAAAATCAACATTGTAGCCTATCATGTCACCTTTATACCTTTCTATTATACTGTATTTACTGGAAAGTGATTTTTTTCTACAGGTGAGCAATTTAATGAGATTGTGGGAAGTCCATATTACATGGCTCCAGAGGTTCTAAAGCGCAATTATGGTCCTGAGATTGATGTCTGGAGTGCTGGAGTTATTCTGTATATTTTACTTTGTGGTGTCCCACCTTTCTGGGCAGGTTAATATTTTTCTTTATTCATTTGACTTCAATGGGGTTAGACTATCTCTAGCTCTCTTTCTTTTTCTTGGACCTGCATGAGTTTTATAATTTGTAGGGCTGCGGACCAGTGCTTGGTTTGAGTGTAACGAAAGGAGGGAGTACATTATGAGCGTCCCATTTCATTTTTTCTGGTTCTTAATTTTTTTCTGTTGGAGGTCTTCACATGCAAACACATATCATGTTCATGTGTATGGTATCTCATGTTTTATATTTGCACTTGCTTCGTATAAAATTTCTGTGTTCTCAATGCAGAAACTGAGCAAGGTGTAGCACAGGCAATTATTCGCTCAGTTATTGATTTTAAGAGGGACCCTTGGCCTAAAGTTTCTGACAATGCCAAGGACCTTGTGAAGAAGATGCTTAATCCTGACCCGAAGGAGAGGCTTACAGCTGAGCAAGTGCTAGGTAATTTCTCTGATATGCTTTCCCTATTTTTTTATTTTTTTTAAAATATGTTTGATATGGTTTAGATATGGTGCGATATAATAAAAAAGCTCTCTCTTGTGTATGCAGAGCATACTTGGATACAAAATGCCAAGAAGGCACCGAATGTTCCACTTGGTGAGACTGTGAAAGCAAGGCTTAAACAATTCTCTGTAATGAACAAGCTGAAGAAAAGAGCTCTAAGGGTACTATTTGAATTCCTGCTACATTTGTTTGCTTCTTTTTTGGAGTCATGAGAGGAAGTGTTATCAGAGTGTCAAATGATCATGAAAAATTGTCCTCTCCGCTTTGTATTACATTTTAGATGACTGAATCTTGTTTCTTCTGCAGGTTGTGGCTGAGCACTTGTCCGTGGAGGAAGCGGCTGGCATAAAGGAAGCATTTGAAATGATGGACACTAGCAAGAGAGGCAAGATAAACCTTGAGGAGCTTAGAGTTGGGCTGCAAAAAATTGGCCAAAACATTCCTGATGCAGATGTTCAAATCCTAATGGAAGCTGTAAGCATTATTCTGTTCTCAACATAGCTGACAAGTTCTCAAAGCATTATCGACTCATTAATTGGATCATATTGAACTGAATATGGTAAAGAATTCGTTAGTTTTGGTAAAAATAATGATTGAAATTTCTTTTTCTCTTTTTCTTTTTTTTAAAAAAAAAAAAGAGGAAAAAAAGAGAAAGAAGAAACCAAGATAGTGCATTGGAGAAAGTCTGAAGATCAGTATAAAGTAAAAGCAATGAATTGGGGGAAAACGGTTTCCTGAATTTCACTAATCATTTGATTGAATAAAGTCTCAGAATTAGATTTTTTTTGGTTTCTACAGGCTGATGCTGATGGGGATGGAACTTTGAATTATGGAGAGTTTGTTGCGGTTTCAGTTCACCTTAAGAAGATGGGCAATGATGAGCATTTGCACAAAGCTTTTGCTTTCTTTGATAAAAATCAGACTGGTTACATAGAGATTGAGGAGCTACGAGAAGCCTTATACGATGAAGTCGAGCCCAATAGTGAAGATGTTATCAATGCCATTATGCATGATGTTGATACAGACAAGGTTTGTGTCCATTTTATATTCATAGGCAATAGGTCATGTCCAATAAAAATGACTTTTAACCCAAGTCATCATTATTTTGATTATTTTTCCCCACATTCCACAATGAATCATATTTTCAGGCTAATTAAGACAAAAGAGTTCAATGTCATTTCTCTATTCCTCAATTCAACTACCATGTGGTCCTTTAATTCTCCCTGTGAGGCCTTAGTTTTGCTGTAGATAATTCTTTATTGAGTGGTTCGTATTTTGTGCACATAATAAAATAAATCATTTTTGGCCCATTTTCCCTCATCTCAATGCCTATTTGCCCTACCTATAGGTTCATTGTTTTCTGTCATTTAATCTTGTTTCTAATACTAGAAACTCTAAGAATGCTTGGTAATGTTTTGCAAAATTGTTTTGTAAATCGGAAACAAGATATTGGATTTTGCATTTTCAAGATTAAACAAGGGTTTGATGTTTTATTTGAAAACAGTTTCTGTGAACAAAAATAGTGAAGTTACATCTGGTATGATCCTTTGGAGAACTGGAAAACAAGTTTTATAAGTTCTTCAAGCCAGACCTCCAAAAAATGACCAATTTAGCCAAATGCTTTTAGAGAATGAAATCGTTGACATTAGATATTAGCCCCAATCATGGTTGTATTCAACAATTTATATATTTAGTATTTGCTTTAGAACCTTATCTAGCTATATTAGAAGCTCAATCTTGTTCCATTTTTGTCTTGCAGGATGGTCGCATAAGTTACGAGGAGTTTGCTGCAATGATGAAGGCTGGTACAGACTGGAGAAAGGCATCCCGACAATATTCACGAGAAAGATTCAACAGTTTGAGCTTGAAGTTGATGAGGGATGGATCATTACAGTTAGCCAGCTGACTATAGAAGTTATCCGAAAGACTGGGGAAAAGAAGAAAGATTGTTTAATTTTGTTATTTTTTCAATTTATTCCCATGTGTAGGTAGGATTAGGATGGCTTGGTCTTAAAGTTTCTTAACTAGCAAAAATGTTTAGAATCTATCTGTTTATGTAGTTTCAAAAGAAGAAAAAAGAATTCTTTGAAGAGAGATGGAAAGATTGTTATTATGAACCACTATTAGTGGTTGTACATATTGAATTAGGCTTACAGGCCCTTTTTTATTTAGAGAAATATTTATGTAATAGCTTTTTATTTGCTTTTGCTTTTGCCTGAAATGACTTGGATCACTTTGAGACTTTTGGTAGCAGGAATGACTTATATCTGGATTAATATGTTATTCTTTTTACGGTTGCAACATTCCAAATAGAGCAATGAAGTTATACTTTTGTTTTGTGTAAACAAGTTTCTGCAAGAGTTGCAGTGGCGCCTGCCACAGTAATTAGCTTTTGCCAGTCATTAGTTTTTCTCATTAGACTTAAAATTCTTTAAAACCAATGCATATTAGATTCACTTTTACATTTGTCACGAAAAGAGTTGGCAACACCAGGCGCGACTAAAGTTAGTACTTCTTTTTGGTGCCAACAACAGTAACTGCCGTGAAGTAAGCTGTGTATTTGCTGCAGTGTTCCCCACAAAATTTTTCATTGGAGTCATTCTCATGCTCAACTGAATTTTACCTTTTTAATTTTAGAAGAGGAATAAAGAAAGCAATACAATAGTTGAGTCATATGTACACACTATCATAAGATAGGAAAAGAGAAGCCAGTCTCATTTATGGTACAAGACACTGGTGAATACAAGTATTTACAGAAATTCTCTCAAAAGTTTTGTAAGACATCTTCCTCTACAACTGCCTTGTTTCAATCAAGGTTTCACCTTCAAAATTGGCTGGTTAGACAGAAAACTGATGGAATAGATGCTCCTGGCTCATGGGCATGGTTGTCGGCGTCTTCTGCGGCATGCGATAACAAGCTGTAGAGAATTAGACAAGATGAAGACAGCAGATTAACAAGCAGCATAGAATCAGACTAAATGTAGACGGGATTAATGTTTGGATGTGCACTCTGTACCTTTTAGGTGCACTTCATGAAATTCCTTGAAATGTACACAAAAACATGTTTGATGAAATTCAATTTCTTTCTACTGCCATCAATGTTTTATGTACATAAAAACATGTTTGATAAAATTCAATATCTTTCTACTGCCACCAATGTTTTCTCTTTTCCATAGTAACTGATATCTACTTAATCAACTAAATACAATTTCAAACTTATAAATGAGAAGAGAATGTTTAAATCTTAAACATATGGAACACAAAATTCTTATACCTCTCCAACCATACGGAAAACCAATTTTCAGATGAATGAAATTGGAACTACCCATCCTTCAGTTAGGCCCTGTAATGCCACAATCAAAACTGTCAGAATAATTATCTACTGAAAACAAATCAGTTGACTGCACAAGTATAAAGCGCATCTGACCAAGAAGGTGAACTGAAATTCAGAATGGTATGTTAGAAGCTCATCCACACACTGGCTGAAATTAAGTTCAACAAAATTTGTTTATGCCATTGTTTTGACAAAACTATTGCACAGGTATAATATGCTGTGGCAAAACTAGGTACTGCAGTTGTTCATACTTCATACTAGATCTTATCTTCTTACTAATCTTAGCCAATTGAGCTTCTTCTTCTTCTCCTTTTTATTTTTTTGGGTAATATTTTAATAAAGAGACCCAAAAAGAACAAGTCATTTGTTTTGACATTTGATTGGATTCCTAATTATCTAGGTTCAAATTGTGCTCAGGAAGTAATGTTGGTATTGAATTCACCATTGCTAGCAAATATCTAAAAGACCATAAATGTTGATAGTGGAAACAAATATATAAGCGTTTATTTCTGATCAAAGAAACATATAGGTCTAAAAGACTAAAAAGGGAAGTTTTCTTTCCATTTCTAGAAAATAGTTTCTACAGAAACTAAGGTCACACATCTACCAGTGAAAGTGATTTGTCGAACAACCAGTTATGTTTACAAATGAGTTAGGTATCACTACCATATTGCAGTTTCTAGCAACATGTTAAATTTTCAATGACCTACTATTATTAAGGATTTATCTTCAACATTTCCAAATCTAGAATTCCTGTCAGTTAATCTTTTGAGGATGAACTGTCAATACATTGATGACTTTCTATATTCTTTAGTTAGCTTATTTCTTTGAGAGATCAAATCTTTTTCACTAATGGGATGAAAATTAACAAATCCTGTTAATAAATATAGTAGATTAACTTGTATTGCAGTGGATAGCCTAACTGTCAGATCTTTTGCAATAGCACAAGAGGTCCACCTTTGGGGGAATTCAAATTAAACCTCATTCATCTATTTGACTATTGTTCACATTCATAAAAACTGACATCTAAGATTCACATTGCTTGATCATGGATTCAGTTAATGTTTCTAATCATAATTTAGTTGGTTCACAAGCTAGGTTTATCATTTCTTTGAATAATCAATTATTTATACAAATACTTCAATGCGTGACTAAAATATTTTGTAACAGATCTTCTATTCACACATTCCAAATGAGATCCCTCTTTATCTTTCACATTCAATCAAACCTCTAAATTGCTAGAATTATAAACACTTCTCCCACAAAATTTTTATTTCTAATACAAGACAAGACTAGAGTCGCTTTATGTACAGGAAAATGTTTCAACACTGATCTTCTCCAAGGTTTCTGAGTCAAGATTTAACACGGTCCAAGCCATGCTCACGCATCAAGGAACCTAGCATGGTGAGACAATTGCAGAGATAGTGAAATAATAACATTAAACTCAATGTAAGATTATATTACATTATTTCTTTCATAAAATATTTTCCTCACAATGTTTCTTCATGTTGAATTTGAATCATTAGTGATAGGTTTCATTTCAAGTACAACAAAAATTTCTTGGTCAGTTATTTCCTTCTCCTACGATACAGTTTCCATTTTTTGATCATTTTAATCCAGAGTCATGTTTGACTAAACCAATAAAACCTTTCTAATTAGTATTTGGAGAATTAATTTTGTATGTCAGCAGCACTTTTCATGACAATGCTCTTTGTTACATTCATTTTTGAGGATACAACTAACGATCAACACCTCTCTCTTTATTGGTTTAGATTTTACTTTTTTAGTTTCCCACTTTCTTCATGTTGATTATGACTCCTCAAATAAAAACATTGGAAAAGTCATGGTTGGAATGAAATAAGGTTCCTTTAAGATATTCTGGAATTTCTTCACCACCTTCACAGTGTCAGTCATAAAATTTAGATGTAAAGGTCTCTGAAATTACGAATTCTAGCTAGAGATTTAAAAGAGCACAATATTTTTTTCACTTCAAGATTCTTCATAGACACAGAGAACATTCTGCCAATAGAGGAAGCATTTGTATTCACTTAGCAACTTTAATGGACAATTCATTAATCACTCTCCATTCTAGATCTCCTTGCTCTTCCTATCCAGCTATCAGAAGATAGACCTGCATTTACTTGGAGACAACTTAGCATTACTTTGTATAGTTTACCAGCTTGACTTGTCTGTAATTAACCTAAAAGAGATAGGTTGATATTTACCTTACATCTTGGTGACACCCAAATAAGGAAAACAGACTCACACCTAGTGTTGATAATGTCCACACATACGTGGACCATTTTTAACATGAACTTCATAAATTTCATAGACTTACAGTTGTGCTAGAAGGCTTCTAGAAACAATTTAAGAGATCTTAACATTTTTGCCATATTGTTTTACTTATGATGGACAAGTTGGTATTCAACTTGTAATGCCACGTATATGAGCGTCAAATTTGCAAACGCCGTTAGTGAACCTTTAGAGATAACTTAAAACCTAGAAAATATGGACAAGAAAGGGCCACGTAGCATTCATTTCGATAAGTTCGAGAACTTAAGCTAGCTATATTAGCCCTAGAATGGAGAAGTTGAAACTTACCTTGTGTTCTTTGCAATTTTCATACTCTTCCCCTTTCCCAAACTTGAAGAGATGAGTACTTTTACCCCTCTTTATTGTGAATACTTGCTTCTTTTTTAAGTTTTCTAATATCTCTTTCTTTAATTTCCTCTCATTTATCATGATTAAGGATTAACTAGACTCATTTTCATATGCTTTTACTTTGAATTGGATCACTCTTTCAATTGATTTCTACATTAATTGACTCTTTGATTTCTTCTAATAATTCCTTGCAGGTGTTTTGCTGGTGAATCTTGTATAGCTATTGATCCACACCAATTTCTTCAATTCAATTGTTGGATGATTTGTATTGATTATCTCTTTTTATATCCTTTTAGAAGATTTACATAAAAAAATATTCTATCAACACGCTAATGAATATTGAACATGCATGTTTGCAACCTTTGCTTAAAACTTTTTACCAAATTGATTCTTGTTTATAGGTAACCAATTTTCAAACTAATATTCAATTCATTTATTTTTTTGCTTTCTTGTTATTGTTTGATCATCAATCCCATTATATGAGCAGCAATCTGTTTGTTTGGTTACTCTTCAATCATTGATCAACTAACAAGCTTTTCCTTTTCTTTATTGCACCTATCATTTAATAGCTTTTGATATTAATTTTTTCGCTTGAGTTTTGCCTATTCTCTAAATGAGCTGTGCTTAATTTTATCAAATCAGTTAAATTATAAGTATGTGAGGAATTTTGACTTGAATGTTGTTGTTATATTTTATTCTTAATCAAAATTTAAGTACATGATCTATGATATCAAGAAACTCACCCCAGAGATTAAGTTCATTTGTATCAAGTTAGTTCTTGGGATAAATTCTGACCAAAAATAGGTAAAAAAGACAATTAACTGCTCTGTTGGCAAGAATACCCTAGTTTTCAATAATGAACAAGCATGTGAATGTCATTTAGACATATACATTGACAAGATTTTGATTAC